TTGCTGGGAACCCAAGGTGCGATTAAGCAGCCATGCTTGGTCTAAACCAGAACACGTGTTCTATACTCACATGGCTCTGCCCACCTTGAGCGTGCTGAGGGGTCCCAGGGCAGGCCGCCTTCCTGGTAGGAAGTAGTGAGCACCTAATCTCCCCCTCTGTGTTCTCTCTTCTCATTTCCCTTGTAAATAAAGCTTCCCAGTAAGTTTTCCCTCTATGCCTGCCTTTGAGCATTGTCTGAGTTCTAGTGTGCGGGTGAGGACTCAGCCCAGGTGAGCCGCTGCCCTTCCAGGTGGCCCTGTAACAGGTACGCGGCCCATCCCTGGCTCCCTACCCGTTAGCACCAGAGTCGTTGCTATGCTCTCTGCCAATATACTGTGCTCTCCGTTAGCGTGAAGCATTGACCCCACTGCAATGCTCCCAAGACGGAGGCAACTAACTGCTCCTGTACTCACTGTGTGAGTACAGTGTTGGAAAACCCTCTGATGAAAGACATATGCCGAGTAAAATGAATTCGGTGTCTTTTCCAGCCAAACTTCTGTTCAAGATTCTGTGGCTGTAACTGTTCAGACTTCATCCTGTTACCAGAAATCCCCTCCTTTTCTTGAGTCATTTCCATGTCCTTCCTACTGATTGAGACGTCACCCTAGACCCTGCTCCCACTTTGGCTACTGCGCTCACTGCCTTTGGGGTGACCTCATTCAGGTGCCAGATGACTTAAAGTGTTGGAAGGGCTCTTTAACTTTCTGGACTTTGTTACTCTAAAGTCGTGGTGGTTTTCTCTGGGGGACTAATTTAGAATCTTCTTGGTTAGCATTCACATTAAAGACCACATTAAAGACTCACATTTCATTTCCCTAGTTACTCTAACTCCACAGCTATGACTATTCACCATCCCCTCCATCTTCATACCAGCCTTTCTGAGGATTAAAGAGGTTTAAACGTTTCTTTTAGGGCCCTCCCTGGTGGCACAGGGGGGGTAAAGCACAGCTAAGAAGCTAAAGCTACTTCAGCATGAGTCCGATCCCACCCTATAGCTGACCCACAGGGCGCGGCTGACCTCTCCTGACCCGTCTGCTGCTCCCCTCAGCAGTGTACTTCATCAATCTGCCTGTTCTGCTCCCCACTCTGTCTCTGGTGAATCCTCTCACCACCCCTGCACCTCTGGCCTGTACCCCAATTCTGTATGCATAAATAAATACTTAAAAAAAAAAACATTTCTTTTAAATGTTTGCTGGCCTACAGTCTACAAAAGCTGGACCAGTCACTTAATGATGGCGATGGACTAGCTTCTTCGTGGAGAAAAGATCAGGCAAACTATTTTCATGCAAGAGACTAAATGTCATATTTCTCAAGATCTGAAAGAAGCAACTACAGTATCTTAGTTGATGAGACAAGACCCAAGAGCCCTATTCTTTTATCTAAGGTGGTATCATGACATAGAACCAGCTCATAAAATGTTTAAGATGTAATAGTATAGTCTATAAAGGGGAGGTTCTGTGTTGTCTGCCCCACCTAAAAAATGTAGAGCTGAGTGGTGAGAGGAAGCTGAGAAGGGTTTGGACGAGAAGACTTGATGAGAAGACTTGGAGGAGGCATGTGGAGAAGTCTTGTGAGGAAGCTGGCCTTGCTTCACAGCCTTGACTTGACTCGGGGGCCTGGGAGTATGGAAGGAAATACTTGGAAAAGATTGGGGAAGAGACCCAAGGCATGTTGGGAGTCTGGCAATGGCTGCTTTTATTTTGACTTGTATTTTGCTTTTGCTTTTTCCAGCCTTGCCTGGCCCTTTTGTTCATTTTATAGATCCCACCCTCACCCCCCCCCCACCCCACCCAGGAGCCCTCCACCATGGCAGCTTTCAGTCCTCAGCAGCCCCGCTTTGGGCCAGCTCTGTTTGGCTGGGTATTTAGCCACGAGGTTATGGGTAACTTTGGGTGTTCACTGGAAAACTAATTTCTCTTCTATGCATGGTAATTCTATTAAAGTTCCTTTCTGTTGAAGGGCTTATGCACTATGTACATACTGTGTCTTTACATGGTGTATAGAAGAACACATTAAGAGAAGCACATTTGGGGGTATGGAGGGGCCTTCACTCTGCCCACTAACCAAGGGGTAGGAAGTATTGGAACTGGAACTACGCGTGGGTTCTGGTCACTACAGAAAAGCAATGAGCAGACCAGAATTGAAGCTAGCACTTTTATTTTTCAGCTCACTGGGCCTTGAGCTGAGATCTGCGGACAGACAGATCTGGAGAAACTGTTCTGGCATCTCATGGCAAGATCTGATTTCATAAAAGATGAATAGGTGATGGCACACGGGTGATTTGGTGATGGGAAGCCCAAGGGGATGACAACTGAGATGGAAACATGCACAACATGATGTAAAAATAGACTGTTATTAAAAAAAAAAAAAATAGGAAAAAGAAAATCCCATATGCTTTGATCAGAGATATAAAATGTAACCTAGAAGAGGCCGTATCTAAGCCAACCAGATAACTCCTTTGGCTGTTGGGGACTGTTTTCCTGATCTATAAATTCTACAATACTTGCATGCTATCTTAACTTATTCTCTGTGACTTCCATGACTATCTTTTTCTCACAGTGCATTCTTACTCCCTTGTTGAAAAGCCTCAGGATAATAACTGCAGGCAAATACAACTACTTTTCCTCCTTCTCTCTTTAAAATAGACGACTTTTTAGAGCAAGGATTCTGTAGCACAAGCTAGGGCATCAGGGGCATAGCAACTTAAGCCATTTTAGGGGCATCGCAATTCAAGCCATTTAGCTGTTTTGTGAGGTTTTCATAGTTCTCTAATTTAAAAATAGTACTAGTATCAAAGCTACACTTAATTGTAAGGTGAATTACTTTACATATCACTGAAAGAAGAGACATCCATTAACTTCAAGACACAAACCTACACTTTCTGAAAATGTCCCAGTGTGTACCTCGGGATAGATGAATTGTCGCTATCAGACACCACAAATCCTGCATCACTCAAGCAACTACCCTTTCAACGACTTGAGGTTTATTTTTTGGACAGCTGGCACCAGCAGGCTTGGTGTTAAGAATTTTACAGGGACTACACCTGAGAGGAGAAAGCATACACTGTACAAAAATGAACGACCTAAAATACATATAAATAAAATAAAAATATATATATACATTACAGGAAAGAAACCAGAGATAAAGGTCGACCTATTATATGACTCCATGTACGTGAAGTGTCCAGAATACACAGAAAGGGGCGACACACAGCTGAGCAGCAGTGAGGCGGCGGCACCCCGGCAGGAGTAGGGTTCCCGCCCCGTCTCCCGATTCAGATTCAGCTGAGCTCAATCTTCGGGTTTTTGAAAGCACAGGCATCAGTCTGTCCAAACTGTCCTGCAGCTCTGAATGCTGTGGTGTTTATGTGCTAGTTTGTCAACTGTGTGACTTCTAGTGGCCATTTTCAAGTTTCCCAGCTCTTCCCTTGGCTCATCTATGCTACTGTATTTGTAGCTTTTCCACGACTTACCGCTGCGTCTCTACTGAAATCCTCTCATCTGCGCATGTGTGATTCACCTTTCCCACGAGAACCAGCTGTTTTTAAAATCGACTCTGGTATCTCCACTTTCTGGGTTGCCTCGGAGTCGCGTTCTGTACCCTGTGTCTTAACAGTGTTTTCTCCTTTTTCTGTGTCTATTGCAGTTTTTGACAGCACCATCGGTTAAGTGGAACCCGAGCGACTGGGTTGGACAGTATTTATGCAGGAGGTCATCAAGATTCTTCTAGGTGTCGTGTGGGACATTCGTCAGGCCTGTGGCAGATTCTCCCGCGTGGGCGGCCACTCTCAGCGCTTCCAGGGTGACGTTCGGAGAGGGCAGTGCGCTCAGGCTGTTTCCGGTGTCCTGTGCTCTGCGCTCCTCCAGGGCTTCGCCTGGCCCATGCACCCGCACCCCGGGCCTCGCCTGCCCAGCGGGGGCTGCAGATGCTCAGCTGTCTACTGATCAGCTTTAGTTTGGGGTAACAGTGTTAGAAATGTGTTAGTAATGTTAAAGCTTGCAAATAACGGCACAATAGAAGCATGTTTCATTTTGTTTCTCGATTCCAGGAAGATCCTGGCACCCTGGTAGGATTTTTGTTCTTAAATTTGTTTTTCTCCAAATTGGCGTTTATTTTTTGTTAAAATTTTTTTAGAACTTTGATTACACTTTTCATTCCATTCTGACCTCTTTATTCAAGAGTCCTCTACTACCTTGCGTTTAAAGTCGAAGCACTGCGGCCTCCCTTTACCCGCTGCCCCTCACCTGCCTCTCCCAGTCCCGCTACCTGCCGCCGCTTCACATCCTCCCTGTGCGGCTCATTTTCTGTCCAGGCACAGGCGGGGCCCACGAAGCTCTGCGCTTTAGTATCTGCGTCACATCGAGCAGGGGCCTTAACTGCTGGGACATTTCTAGTGCACATTTCGAAGAGACACACTATTATGACGTTTAAGAACATAAATGTAAGGAATTATTCCTCTCACATGGGGCTGAAAGCAATTCTCCTTCACTGTCTACCTACAGCCAGCCAAACTCCTGAGGGGTCAGATCACGGTCTCACGGGTCCAACGGCTTTACCGTCCCGCCGCCTCCAGCAACTTTATTTTCATTTCTACCCAAAAGGAGGACAAGCAAACAGCAGAAACTCAAGTTGGGAGAAACACAGTGAATTCCTTCAGATAAAACGAGTACAGAATGGTTCTTCATTTACTGTCCTTGTACTTCACATGACAAACATACTTAAGAGTTGGTTTTTTAAAATTCCAGTAGATTTGCCCAATTAATATTAAAATTTTCAAAAACTGTCTGATAAAATTATTTCTGTCATCTTATAATATGAAACAACTATATAGCTAATATAAAAAAAGTATTCTATTTTAAGATTGGCATAGATCTCAGGACGAATCTTTCAGCCTGGTAACTGCCTCATTTCCAAACAGAGACTTCAAATTGATACAAACGATCTCAACAGTCGCCGGTATTTATTGAAATATTGCTCTCTGAACATGCATACATTCAGATTTGCTAAATATATTCTCATCTGTTTCTGGAGTTAGCTGAATATTATCTTTGACTGGAGACAGGGGTTCTGGCTTCTTACAAGAAGGAAGTTTTTCCGAATTTCTGCAAAAGATAAAATGAAGAAATAAACTTAGTATTTTTAGGATCAGGATTTTTAGAAAATAATCTCCTTGAACAAAATAAGAGCCCCTTCAGGGGTTTGTAGGCTCAACGCCATTGTCAACATATTTCACTTTATTTGCCTTCATGACCCAAAGGCAGAACCGAGTAGAGCCGCTGGCAACTTAGCACGAATCCAGACAGCGGCACAAGCTGCACAGAGATGCCAGTAGGAGAGCTTGCACTGGCCACTGCTGTGCACTGTTTGTTTTTGTTTTTTGAGGCACTTACACCCTGAAGAACATTCTTGATGAAGTTTAGGGAAAAATCATTAATTTTATTGAATTCCAACCCTTTCAACTTTATAATATTCTATGATAAAATGGGAAACACATAAGGCACGGTGGCTGAGGACTTAAGTACTCAGCCGGCTATCTCAAATAAAAGCATGTATGTAACATTATGGCTATGCAAATTTAAGTATCTGGCAAAGGACTTCTTGAAATGAACAAAGGTAGCCAATTTAAATTTGCTAATTTAAAGAAAAAACTAACAGGTTGTTGCCAATGACATAATTCAAACTTCCAGTGAAAACCAGGATTTTGGAGCACGTGTATCTGCCACTTGTCATCTTCCCAATCTGCTGACACTGAAATGTGCCAACATCTGGAAGCTAAACAGAACTAAAGACACCGACACTTTCCCAATGATGAATGCACGACCCGACAGAGCCACGCGTGACTGACAGACGCAGGGGCATCGAGACCAGCAGCTACAGTTACACGGAGTGACACAGCTCCAGTTGGGCGGTTTCACCTTTAAGAAACGACTAGCTGTAGAATTTTACTGTAATACCTTAGAAGAAAATTCACAATTAAATAAGTCATTAAAATACACAGTTTCAACTACAAATATGAGTCAGATTTACTTCGTATACCTCAACCAAAGACAAAAGCAGAGAGATGAATATAACAAAATTCTATTAAACTAGACAGTAAACAGAAAAGAAGGAAAAAAACTAGGCAGTAAAGGCTTGCAAGTGACATTTCCATAAAGGGTTAATTCTATCATCCTGAAATTTTCCATTTTTCTTTCATTTTTATTCTCAGCATATTTTCTTTATTGAGAACAAAAAAAATAATTATAAATCAGTGCCACTCTGTGGTCAACTGAAGGAAATATTGTGATTCAAAAATGCAGATATATAGATGGTCAATTATTTCAAAACAGCATTTGCTATATACATTAGAAATTTGGTCAATTCATCATTGAGCTTTAATGGTTCTTCCCCTTTTAGATGTGATAATTGAAATAAACAAATTGCTTTAAATCCAGAAGTATGCTTCTTACTCCTGTGTCTACAGCAACTTTATTTTCATTATTCTCCAGAGATATAAAAAAGCCTAGAAAATGGCCCTGCTGGGTGGCGCAGCCGGTTAAAGCACAGCACTGAGAAGCTAAAGCCACTTCGCACGAGTTCGATCCCCGCCTGCTCCGGAGGTGACCACATGGCGCGGCAGACCTCTCCTGACCCGCCCGCTGCTCCCCTCAGCAGTGGACTTCACTGATCTGCCTGTTCTGCTCCCCACTCTGTCTCTGGTGAATCCTCTCACCCTCCGCATTTCTGGCCTGTACCCCAGTTCTGTATGAATAAATAAATAAATCTTTAAAAAAAAAAAAAGCCTAGAAAATAACATGCTTAACGTCCATAATAACACCCATAATCACACTAAGATTTGAGTTTTTAGTTTGCCATCCTTTTACTATAAAACTGAAGAGATTCATGTGTAATAGAAAGACAAGATTAAAACTACAGAGAAAAATACATTATTCTATTTTAGAAAAATAAAAAAACTCACTTTTTGAATCCAAAATTTTTCCAGAGCTCATTGATCTTTATCTGCAATCCAGGCGTGTTCTCAATATTAGGATGATTTCGCTTCTGGATGTTTGAGGGTTTCTTGCTCAGCCCACTGACTCTGGCAGGTGCTAGAGGTTTGATCCTGGTTGTAGAAAGACTGTCCAGGGAACTTGATTTATACAGCCCAGGAACCTGAGGATTAAATGCCATTTTAATACAATTATAACAACCATCTTTGGTTAATTTAAAACTATTCTTTAGACACTGGATAGAAAAAGAAGCGCTAAGTAATCTATGAACATGGATGTTAGTGATGGAAAAGGGAGAGAACAAGTGACAACAGAGGAAAAACACCAGAATGTGGACAGGTGTACAGCTGTTTTGGTTTTTTATCTTTACCATGTGCAGAAGAATGGAACTGGTAGTTATAAAGAAAAGGTCAATCTTATGATTTTGAAAATAAATGACAATTAAAGTAATATAATTTTATACAACAACAAAAATGCTCTGAGAACTAGTCAGAGATAAGAAAAATACAAGTGTGATTTTTAGATAGGCATTGGGGGTTAGGGGGAGTATCTGTGGCATTTTCACCAAACAATTAAAGTCTTGAGAATGTAAATAAATTTCTGAAGTTAAGAATAAAAGTAAAAAGATGGTAATTCAGTCTCTGGACATAACTTCTTTTGGGAAAGTTCCTTCTGCATCTATAGCTCTGTCACTGCAGAAAAATATACCATACTATACATACTAATTAATAACATACTTTTCCTTATCATGCAAAGATTGTAAAAATGGTCTTATATATCTTAAATCTGTATCTAATATATTTGGGATTATATTATACAGAATGAACTGGGGCTCATCTCTCATATGGATATATAAACCATTTATTGAAAAATTTTAAAACTTTCTTATATTAGAAAAGTAACACATGTTCAGTAAAGAAGAATATGAAAAGGACAAAAAATATTTCATCTAAACCTCAACCACTTAAGAGACAAAACCAACAGAAGTTTGATAAGCCATTCCCTTATTTTTCTAAGAGATTTTTTTTTTTTAAGATTAATTTTCACATACAAGAGCTGTGGTTCAGACCAGAAGTGAGGGGAAAGCGAAAGGATTCAGAGACAGAGCCAGAGCAGAACAGGCGAATCTACTGAAATCCACTGCTGAGGGGGCAGCAGGAGGGACAGGAGAGGTCTGCTGTGCCCTGGGGGTCACTCCCTGGCTGCGGGGATCAGTGGCTGGTGATAGCTTGGTAGTGCTGAGACTTAACCCCTCATTCCCTTGTTTCTAAATAATTTCCAAGTGTTCTTATTTTGCTATTGTGACCTGTGCAGGAGTAAGTGTTCTTGTAGTAATCGTTATTTCCTTAGGCTCAAGTTCTAGAATGCACTTAACTAGGTTAAATCATTTGAATTCTTTCAAAACGTTTTCCAGAAATAGCAGGCCAATATATACTCCTTTACATGTGATTCTACATTTCACTACACATTAAATAGAGCTCTGAGAAATCTGAGAGGTAAGAAATTACATGTAGCTATTTAAATTTGTTGGTTATTAATAAGGTTAGATATGCTTTTTATATGTTAATCAACCACTTGTAGTTTCTTTTGAAATCTCCACTCCTGCCTTTTGGCCCATTTGTTAGCTAGAAAATCAAGTTTTCTTGAATCTTCATTATATTTTATTTAAAAAACCTGGCTTATCAATTTCTAGAAGACATTTTGGCACTACATATACATGTTTACATTACATATGCCTTTAGACAAGAAACATCACAGAATTTATCCTTATAAAATAATCAAGAATGTACTCAAATATTTACCTCTAAGATCTTTGCTGTTTATTACAGCAAAAAATTCTTCGCATGAATAACTAAAAGGACTAGCTAATTCAGGGCCTTCCTGGTGGCACACGGGGTTAAGGGTCAGAACTATGAAACTGTCCGCAGCCACTACAACAGGTATTCAATCCCGAGTCAGGGAGTGGCCCACAGGGCGCGGCTGACCTCTCCTGTCTTGCCCGCTGCTCCCCTCTTCATGTATCCTGGTAGATCCGCCTGTTCTGCTCCCTACGCTGTAGGTGGTGAATTCTCAGCCCTAAACCTCTGAACTGTACCCCATTTCTTGTATGCATAAATAAATTAAATAAATCGTAAAAAGAAAAAGGACTAGCTAACACGTACAACTGCAAACTACATAGTTATTATATATTTACCTATATAAGAACATAGACAAAGATTTTTACACTGGAGTTTTATAATTTACACATCTAGACTTAAGAACATGGTCCTAGAAGATCTGAAAATAGACATTAAATAAGAATATAGGTGTTTTGATTTTTAACTATATTTTTCTTTCTGGCAATAAGCATGCACTGCTTCTGCAGTTTAAAAAAATTAAATATTTTACCTTGTTCCTTAGAAGTCTGTCCTTTTTTGAAAAATGAGATAAATGTAGCTTGGATTTCTGATTAACTTGATCACTAAGTGATTTAAAATTGCAATCAGACTCCTAGATTCCCCAGATCAAAAAATAAAATAAAATTAATTTTTATGACAAATTAATATTGAATAAAACATAAGAAAAACAGCAAAAAAAAAAAAAAGGCCAGATTTGGACAGAAGAGGAAGGTGGAAAGAAAAAAATGGTGCTAATCAGTTTTACTCTTTTATTTACTGAAGAAATCTGCAAGATGCTTAAGCTAAGAGAAGCAATTGTAGTAAACGAAGTACACATTTAAAATTGAAGGCTTTCCTGAATTGTTTCAGAAATCTGTCAAACGTTATTTCAGATAACACCAGAGTCTCCTTCTGTAATCCTGAGGCTACAGCCAAGTTCAGCTAATAGTTTTCATAAATTACTAGCTACTGAAAGGCTGAAACAGTAGTTCTGCAGCTCCCTTTAACTATATAACATTCAACATTAAAGAGAACAAAGGCCCCAAATCAGAAGCCTTCACAAGTCTGCATTTTTCAAGAGGGTTTCTTTTTAAATAATTATCTTGAGATTCTACTCAGCACTTTATACCTTAAAAACAACCCCAAGGTGAAAAACATTCCATTCCTTTACAGTGCCCTGATATTTTATGCTCCCAGCTAACAGCAGTGGTGGTGCTGGGCTAAATGATTTCTTAGAGTCACGATCAGGAGTAAGATCCTGAGATTAATTTACCTCACACAGGGTCAATGAATTCAATGTGGATAGAACCTATGTTTGTTGCTTCAGAGTGAACCACCAAAGGCAGTCTTGTATAGAGAAACACCTTCTTTTGAACCATATACTAAAAACTGACATTCAAATTGGAGCTCCAAGGGTCCGATGCTTCCTCAGACATTTTCTGCAGCAAAGAACGACTACTAAGTTTTATGTTAGCGGCCAGAGTGCCAATTCCTTGAGAATAAGTCACTTATCCCAGGAGACATTTTCACACCTGACAGGAAGAGATGCCTCAATGATTCCTAGGGTAGCGCAGTTTGCGTGTTAGCTTTGTGCAGCAGGATTCTGCTTCTATAACTGACTAGTACAGAAGTGACCAGGCCGAAAGACAGCGCCTGGAGAATGCCGTCAGCGTGCCCAGCCCGCAGGCCAGGACTCCCACAGTGGCTGAAAACCTACGAAGTGAACGGAACAGGAAGATGTCTGCTGATGATATTTTTGAAATAAAGATGTTCAAGAGAAAGCATCTGTGGTGTACCAAGATGTGATGATGCAGCATGAAGTAAACAAATGACATCGAAAAGAACAGTCTTCCAGACCGGTATGCGTGAACAGAAGGCAGAGGGAGTGGAAGGAGAGAGAAGCAAAAGCCTCAAGGCAGCCCCGGCTTTGCCTGGGTTGGTACTCTTCTAAAAATCTACCAAGACTTACTACGTGAGGCAGGCTGGGGGCTCAAAAATGGATCTCAGTTTTCTCCAAGCAAAAAGAATTTGTTTCCACATTTTCACTTGTTTTTTCCTTCAATAAGGCCAATACAACTCAGGTTTCTTTTGGGAAAATATGCCCCTTTTGATAAGTACAAGTCATACTGATTGATACATGCTGCTCGAGATTCAGGATTACCAGATACCAAAGTCCTATCAATTATTACCACAGCCATAATTGTTCTTACAACTTGGGAATCCCAGTTGGGAAAGATAAAATGAAGTATGCGACACTGCTAAAATTATGATAATTCAGATTGAAAATGGTGATACCATTGTGTCGTTTTAAAATGTAATGTCATCGGGTCTTATGACCAGTACTTTGAGTTTTGATTTTATTTAGAGCAGCATAAAAATATTTTGTAAATAAGAAATGGTTAGGATCCTTTTACAAGTAAAAAGGTAAAGTGCCATGTATTAGTTTTGTTTCATTACAAAGCGAAAGTTTATCGAGGGTATGATTAAATAATAAATGTATAACAGTCTTTCATCATAGCTTATCATTATGAGAACTATGGTTACTATGGTAACTATGAGCTAATTAAATGTACAAGAGTTTAGATGTGATAGATACAAAGTCCTCAGCTGCATAAAAAGAGAAAGGCCCACAAAGAGCTAGAATAAAAATTTGAATAGCAAATTACTCGCAATAGGAATCTGACAACAAAGACTTCATAATGTGACTTACCTCTGAATCTGAATCTTTATTAGAATGCTGGGAAAGATCTGATGTGTTTAGACTTTCTTGAGACTGAGAAGAACATTCCATTTCATGTAAGTGATGTTCGTCACACGACTCATCACTCTTTACGGGAGATGCCCCGGCCACCCCAGGCTCAGGCGGGAAGGGGGAACAGTCACTGTTTCTACGGAAGTGCTGCAGAGCTGCGCGTGGAGAGAGGCTTGAAGTTCCTGAAAGATCTCCAAGACTCCCAGACCAACTAAAACAACTTCTTAGCGTCCCCAGAGTGGGTGGTGAAATGGTCCTTGTGAATGTGCTGGCCTTCAAAGGCTGCGACCCACTAGGAATTCCAGTCACATCATCTGGAATCTGATCGCTGAAATCAGGTGCCACTTTTGTATCAGCTGGCTCCTTATCGTTTAAGCAGCCTGATTCAGTCAGAGTGGTCACACTCTCGGTGACAGCAGTCTCGTCCGGAGGCTGGCTGCTTGCTTCCTGGGATGCACAGTCTGCAGAGTCCAGAGAATTGCAAAAAAACCTAACAGAAAAAACACCAGAGAGAATGTTAAGTTTTTTAAGAGCTTTCTCACAAAGGTACAAAATTCCAAACAGAAAATTAAATTTTGTGAGTTTATTATTTCATGAATAAAGGCAAAATGTATCTACATTTTATGAAACATTTCAACTTGGATTATGGCAATTGACATAGTTAAACATTTATTTCATACACTGAAATTTTAGATGGGGCTTTCTACGTGCATTGTCCATGTGTAAGGGTACGTGGAGCTGGAGCATTTATCGACCTCATCTAGCTTTCCCCTTACGTCACTGTTGCCCCACCGCCATGTCACAGGTGAACAATGGCCGATTCCCTTCCGTTCATCCCTCCCGTGTGCCCTGCTCAGCTTGATAGTTTTGGCTTTTTCTTGACCTTTTGTTTGGTTTCTCGATATTCCACATATAAGCGAGCCCACCCGTATGTATCTTTTCTCTCTGCCTACTTTCGCCTAGCACAATCCCTCCGGCTGCGTCTTTCTGACCCCAGACTGTGAGACTCTTGAGGACAGGTGCTGCCCACCCCCGTGTTCTCCACAGTACCTAGAACAGTGGCTTGCCCACAGCTGACTGTCAAATATTTAGCCAGACATGTGCAACAGAAGGGTCACTGCATAGCTGCTGCCTCTTACTTTATAAAAGCGAAACAAAAGAAACTATCTGCCTTTCACTTTTAGCTTAAATGCTAGTAGCAAATCATGTGGCAAATTGCAGTATGACACTAACCCACTAGCTTTTTATGCACCCTATATACATTACATTATTTTAAAAATTGAAGTAAAGACTTCCAAACCAATTATTACATTCTGATGCACGTAAGAGGTATTTAGCGCAGCACCTTTTAAAAAACTTAAGAATATAAATGAAAGATCAGTGTCATTATGGGGAAGTCTTCAAGGATGGGTTTTAGGTTTAAAAGAAAATCCTACAAGTTATTAATAAAACATCTAACTATAGAGTATTATATGTATGTATATGACGATATTAAGCTCGTGCAAGTTCCATAAACAAAAATTATTGATTGTGTCCAAAGAACAACAAAACACTCAAAAGTAGAAAAGGGAAATTCTATTTTCACCCAAATGGAACAATTGAAACACAGTTCCAAATGTTTCTCCAAATGAGAGACATCAGTTTGCTAAAAATGTCTTAATCACGCAGATGGAGTAGGATGCTGCTCTCCACCGTGTGGCCTACTCGCGTGCACACGCACCATTAATGGGGAAGAATCAAGACCATCACTGAACCGTACCGGGAATGGCCCTTCAGACGAGACAGAAGAGGATCTGAGCCACCTCTAAGCAAGGCTTTGCGATCACTGAAGTCGCTCGTTCCTTCAGGCCCCTCTCCCACAGCTGTGGCTAGAAAAGGCTGCTTGCTGTCTGGTTTAAAGGACTTTAAAAACAGGAAATACCTATCGGTACATCTACCAGAGAAATACAGGGTGCTCTGAAGTTGCCATGTTATGACTAAAGAAATTCTACCACTTAGACTGCCTATTTGTGGCTGTGGTTGCATCACCCAAAGTCAGTACAACAAGAGCTTTCAGTTAGATGCATGTTTACCACCTAACAGGTGCTGTTTAAGGCATTTTACTTACAGAAGCGATTTCACTCCCTCAAAATACTGAGGTTACTCAGGTCAAATATCTCATTAGTGAGAACTACAAGATGGAAACCCAAGTAGTCTGACCAACCTCAGGCTCCAAGTTCCTGCCCAGTTACGCTGCACCTTCAAATTCTCACAAATCCTCATCACTGCTCGCCAGGATAATGCTAACAAGAGCCTAACCCCAGCTTTCTGCTCTTTGGGCTACAGCTGACCCTCCACAGTGCACCCAGAGTGGCCAGTCCACACTGGCAGTCACCTAGGGCTAAGACGCTGCATCAGTCTGCTGGCTCTGATGCATGGAAGTTAGCGCTCTTCACAGCATTAAGACTGCTGGGAGACTTTTGTTTCTTAGAAATAAAACCACACAAAACAGTAGTGAGACAAGCGTCTCCTCGTAATGCCGTAATACCTGAAAGCAATTAAGAACCCAATTGAATAAGGCTGATCTAGTGCAGTAAAAGCACCTGAGTTCAGACTAAGGCACTCCTATTACAACCTCCATCCGTATTTTATAGGCCATTTTGATTCCATTTTCTGTATTTACTTCCTGCTTTTTTAAACTAGTATGATAAAATATGCAAAATGATGTGGATATTCTACAAATGTACATGTGTAACATTTGAGAATGAAGATGGTTTCAGAAAAGTAGCACACATTCACGTGACATCTCACTGAATGTTAGAACGGAAGAGTATTATGTCCAAGTTGTCTCCTACTAGAAAACATAAGTTCTGCTTGACTCCCGTACACAAGGTGATACGTAGCAGAACTTAGGACTTTTACAACAGGAAAAAAAAGAAAGAAAAACAAAGCAGGAGTCATGTGGTATGCCCTCCTGTGACGAAGAACACTCTTTCACCCCCAGCCTTCATCTCTAAAGACTAACAGACCCGCAGCTGACAAGGGAGGCTGCCGTCCTTTTCCTGACCCACATGCTGTAGCAGTGACCACGGGAGCAATCACACACGCAGCTGCTCACACCTCCAGGTGCGCCAGCTCCGGTCTCTGCTGGTTCTGCAGGACGGCACCAGTCACTCCGCCAGCAGTGGTGCCTGACACTTCTCCTTCCCTCTCACTTCCCAACCCCTGCACCAACACCAGATGCCCCTTTCCTGCCCTCCAGACACCACTGTGGGCTTTTCTCTCCTTTCCCACTGCAGGAGGTGAAGGACCTTTGTTTATGAAGCTACTCTTCTGACTACAATCTTAAGAAGGGCTGTTTTTCACATTTTTGAAACCCAAAAAGCTAGTAGTATCGTGTTAGGATATTAGAACAGTACAAATATATTTCCAGAAATACTTTGCAAAACTATACCTACACAGCAGGCTATTTGGGCACAATTAAGGCAACATGTGATGAAAACAGTAGCTAGATTATGCACCTTCATCAGATTCAAGGCTTATTCACGATATTTAAAATGGCCAACAACAGAGTAAAAGGTAAACAACAATACCTGCTTCTTGTCCCTGGAACCACAACTGTACCACTCTCTTTATTTTTCCTCTGTAAAAATGTTGCAAATTTATTTCGCGTTGTAGATGGTGTGCTTATGGCATTTTTACTAGTAGTTCCATCTACCAGGTCAGGCACGTGCATTTCAGAAGACTTCGATGACTGTTTACCTTCACAGCCATTTCTTTTGGCCTTCTTCACGAATGGCTGAGAATACTGACTCAGCAGGTCACCTTCTGAAAGCTCTTCTGAATAAAAACAAAATCAATCACATAGGCCTTTGTTTCAAGCCTACCTGGCTTTGGCTTAGCTGCAGTCCACGCCCCACTGCCCTGGGAGTGGAGTCTTATTAATTTTTTAAACAATGTATGACAAAAGGAAACCCCCCAAAAATCCCCTTAGGTCTATTTACAATTTCACAAATTAGTTGAAGTTGAATGCCATTTTTGGGGTATAATTTTATGTGAAATTAGCAAAATCAAACCTCCAGGATACAAAAAATTCTTTACGGCTTTATATTCATTACACTAAGGACGCAATTTTGAATGTAAAAAACAAATTTAAGGCAGTGGTTAAACAGTGGTTAACTCACCATTTTTCAAAACGTTCTAATAAAACCCGCAGTTATTTATAGAACATCTATGTGTCATGTTGTTTGCAGTGTGTGATATGCGTAGTCACAGGCCACTGCATTCCACTTCTGATCCTCATTATCTAGCTATAAAGTCCTAGAATACTGTTGGGCAACAAATGTACTTTACAGTAACAGGATAAATCATAAGGTTAAGTAGAAAGGCACAGACAAAAATATAGAGATATCACTAGGTTTCAACTAATCCCTAGTCTGATAAGATCTACGCATGTGGGAGAAAATAGTATGCTCAGAGGTTGGTTAAATAGATGGGATACCAAATATTAGAGAAAAGATCAGTAAAAGTGATTTTGATCCTGACAAAAGCCTAAACATGTTTTTTGTGCAGATATAATTATAAGCCTTTACCAAAAAAAAAAAAAAAAAAAGTGTGTGTATCATTAACCACATGAAACTAATAGGAAAACATTTCAGAAATGTTAAATAACAGTCTCAAGATTGCAGCGTTAAGATGAAGATATTACAGTGTTTTACTATGGCCTTCACTGTGGTTTTAAGACCCAAGACACAAACATGAACTCTTAATTGAATATCCAATCTACTGAGACTGACCTTATTTATTTTGGATTTGCTAGTCTTTATGATCATGTTAGTCCTTAAAATCTTTCTTTTTCTCCAATGCAGGCATAAGATGCATTAACTCTGTTTAGACATTATTTAGTTACCAGTAGTGACTGAAGCATAAAATGGCACTATCTATATATGCAAATAAGCTTTTTAAGCTGGAATATTGATTCTACATTTTTTTTCTAACCTAGCTAACCTTTTGACTCATGCATATATAATAACCATTGTATTTTAACTTAAAAAAATCTACTGAGGACCTTTACTTCATGAAGGACATGAAATGAGAGTTAAGGATGAATTAACTGCATTGTTCATGCTCCATGAATTCTTACTAAAGAAAACCAAGTTAATTCAACTGAATCATATGCCTACACATAGAAGCTAAAACTAAAATTTCTAGACATCAACCAGAGAAACTGTCAGTGACGTGGGGTCAAACACTGATGACTATTTTACAGAAACTGAGATACATACCATTTCTTAGCCTTTTCACAACTGATGACTTCCTTGGCAGATTTAACCCTTTAGTACTAATCACTTTTTCAATGCCCAGTGTACTTGGATTTTCCCTTGATCTTGCAGCATCTGAAATCATATCCGGCTCAAGTCTAGGGCAATAATTCCTATGCCAAATGCTATTAACATTAGATGACTTTTGACCTGTTTTGTCATTCCAACTGTGATGTCTTGACTGGGTAAGCTAAAATGGTAAAAATGAAAAGGTTACTTGAAGGAAGAAAACAGAAAATTCATTTTCCTGTGTGTCATCATAAACTATAATTACGTAAACTATCCTCAAAGAGTAGCTCTGTATGAAATGTCTGTCCCCTAAATACATTTTCTACTTTCCCATTACATGAGTTTAATATCTTAAGTTTTATATTCCTAGGTGTTGCTTTTCTAATGAGGGTCAAGAAACCTTGCTAGCTCATTTCTATATTTGTACCATCATTAATAAACAATGCACAGAAACGGAAAACTACTTTGCTCTACACTGATTTTTGTATAAGATTTTTTCTGAGAGAGGGCTATTGCCTATATTAGTAAGCAATCATTTTAAAGACTAATAGATTCACAATTACAACATGTTTTGAATAACAACCACCTGTTAAGAAGATATCAGTGATATTCCAACAGAGCAGGGTAGTCAAAAGGAAGAATTAACAAAGGTATAAAAACTGTTGACTATGAATCTACATTACAAAAATCCTACCTGAACTTGGAACCTAATCTTCCACCTAAAGGTAAAAGTTAATAAAGTAAGGTGATAATATTCAGTATATGCTTTGAAAACTGATGAAGAATAAAATAACTGAGGGAATAGGTTATTTGCTGAAATTTAGGCCCATTTATGAAAGCAAGAAAAATCTCAATCTGAATTATAGCTGAAGGAACTTGAAAAGATGAAAGAAAACAAAAGCAAGATAAAGAGAAGTAAATAATAAAAATTAGAATAAAATAAACTAAGTAGAAAACAAAAGGACCTTTTTTTTTTGCACTTTGAGAAAATAAATAAAATTGACAAGCCCTTAACTAGGTAGACCAAAGGTAAGTGAAAATCCAAATAAATAGAATCAGAAATAAGAGGTAAAATTACAACAAATAGCTGAAGGAATAAAAAGTACCCTAAGAACATACTATGGACATCCCTACACAAAGTGGATGACCTAGAGCGAATGGACCAATCCTTAGATTCACACATCCTTTCAAGAGTGAACCAGAAGGAAATAGTTTAGTACATCATTAAGTGCAGAAATTGAAAGAGTAACAAAAAAGGAAAAAACTCACCAGGAACAAAGCCCAGGACCAGACAGTTTCTCCAGGTAATTCTATCAAGCTTTTAGAGGAGCCTAAATACCTCCCCTAGTCAAACTCTTCAAAGAAAAACTGAAGCAGGTGGAATGCTCATTAGCACATTCTTTTCTGTTTCATTTTTAAAGTTGAGTGAACGCTGGTTTACAACATTGCAGGAGTTAAAGTTATAGGGTCATGTCCTTCAGGCGTACGTTACGTCACCCACCAAGGCACTAGGTCACCCTCACAGTCCAAGGTGCCCCCTCCTGACTGCACCAGCCTCTTCTTGCTCCCTGGAAGCCTCAATTTCACAGGGTTGTTGGCCTGGTTTGACCTGACACTGTCTGGTCTCTCTCTATTCAACAGGAGGGACCCGTCCGGTATTTGTCTTTCTCCTTCTGGCTTATTTTCTCAGCACATCCTCCTTCGGATCCAGCCCATATGACGCAAAGTTCGGTTTCATCTCTTTTTTCATAGCTGACCAGTATCCCAGTGTGTATATACCACATTTTCCTAACCTACTCATGTATTTTTGGGAACCAGCTAAGTTGTTCCTTCGCTGGTTACTGTAAATAGGACTGCAACAAACACTGCAGTGAATATGCCCATCTGAGTTAGTATGTTCGACTCTCAGGCAGATACCTCGGAGTGTGAACTCTGGATTATATGGTAGCTCTATTTTTAATATTTTGAGAAATCTCCGCACTATATCCATTACGGGCTGGACCAGTCTATATTCCTACTAACATTGTGCAAGTGTTTCTTTTTCTCTCTATCCTCACCAACACTTGTTACTTCTGTACTTTTGATATGGGCCTATCTTACAGGCGTGAGATGGAATTTCACTGATGTAGAATTCAGAGATTTGTGGGGGGGAGGGGGTGGACGGAGATGTGCAGAGACTGGAATGGATTAAAGTTGTTCAAATTCTTTGCATAAATGGCATAGATGAAGTCAAAAGAACTTATGTAGGTAATAAATATGAATAGATAAAGAACGGTGGGAGAAAGCGCCTTAAGAAGTCTCCACAATGGTGAAAAAGTAGGGAAATGACAAGGGCCCCGGACACGTAACAAAGAGAACTAGTCGCTAAACTGAATGAGTGACACAGCAGCTTTATTCCCCAGAGCAGCATTTCTAGGCTTGAGTCTCTGACAATGCTTAATGTCAGAGGTTGAATGAATATGCTGAGATGAGGAAACAGGCACTGGTATAATCAAATGTTCAAGCCGAAAGGTTCGCTAACATAAAACGATTACTTTTTAAGAAAATTACCCAGGATACCCATGTTCGAATGGAAACTCTCTAGCAGTAAGTTGTTTTCAAGTGATACTGTGCAGAAGGCCTGGCTACAGAAATGCTAAAAAGCTGTTAACTAAATGAAAATATGCCTTTAATCACAGTCCTTTATGATTCTTTTACAAAGAAGTCACTAAGATGTTACCATAACAGCATCTGGATTGTAGTCATCAATCTGTTCAAAAGTATTTATATCTTTATTTCCAAGCGCTATCTGAAGAGCTATAGAATCATCGACATACCTGAATTAATAAGTTTAAGGAAAAATGCTTTTAATAGCAACCATAGTGAGATACAAAAATACTTTCTATTGTCACAGGAAACCTGCGGACTTACAGTGTAACGAAGCTCACGTACTTGCCACATGCAGTGGCACGAGACAACAGTGCCACTGCTTAGGAGTCTGCTGGCCACTGCAGCAGGGACAGTGTTCTGAAGCAAAAGCCCCAGGCCATCACTTGATTCCTTCTGAGACAGAGAAGCCCTGGCCATCACCCAGAATGCATGAGGCCAGTGTGGGAGGGCATCCTTTCCTGGTAATGTAACGGACCCCAAAACACTGTTTCTAATAAATCAAGTTGCTTGTCACAAAGGCTTCATTTTAATGACACCTTTGAAAAATGTGCCGAAGTGACCGCCTGTTACTACAAGGCATCGAAGAAATTACCAAGTTACAGTGACTGGATTTCAAATTTATACAGAAGGTTGTTCCAAATTTCCCCTAGTGTGGTAACTGAAAAACATAAATTTCCCAGAAAGAGAAAGCAAAAATACAATTTGCAAGCTTTTTCTAACCAAATGTTTTACAAAAAATAATAGTACCCTAGGGCTCTCCCTGATGGCACAATGGATTAAAGCACCACATTATGAAGCTCTGGGAAGCCGCTGCAGCACAAGATCCATCCCCCACCAGGGAGCTGACTCACGACCCCTCCTGGCCCGCCCGCTGCTCCCCTCAGCAGTGTACTTCCTTGATCTGCCTGTTCTGCTCCCCGCTCTGTCTCTGGTGAATCTTCACACTCACCACACCTCTGGCCTGTACCCCAGTTCTGTAAGCATAAATAAATAAACCTTTAAAAAATAGTAGTAATAACAGTACTCTAAAAATATCTAAGTATACAATTCTAACATTCCGGTTTAGAAAGGATACTGCCCTGCATAGCTTAGTGTTTCTGGATCAATGTCATCTTCATAGGCATTCAGAGGGATAAGTTTTCTTTGGATGGGATCAAAAACTAGCTGATAAAGGAACGTATTGTTGGCCCGAATAAACCCTTTGATGTAATCTTCTGGTACTGTTATATTCGTTTTCAGATAATGTCCAATTTTCTTGATAACCTAATAATGAATGTAAAAAAATATGAATTACCTTCAAATAACAAAGGGAGGATGTATATCCCCAAGATAAAACAGTTTATATCAAAAGAGGACAAGGAAGATCAGAAATCAATTGCTTTTACTTACAATAAAAAACTCCACTGGCAAACATAACCATATGCTATCACTTACAGTGCCCTATCACTGAAAATTCTGAATCTCTATAACAGTATTTTCTTTGCTTTTCCCAATATGAACCCAAAGAATCGGACATTCAGTTAAATACATCAAGTTTCCACTACTAGGTATAACTTTAAGGTACAGTCTTTACTTTCAGAGTTCCTGTCATCCAGAAAGCAAAAGCAAATACCATACAAAAACCTAAGAAACAAAACAAAACAAAACACTCTTATATATAAGATGAAGCTGACATGCTAACTTCTGTCAGAGCCATGATGCGTACAGCTAGAAGAAATTTCAAGTATTCTGTTATATTCAGAGGTGAAGGGACGCTCCCGGGAATCCCGGTACCCCAGAGCCAGAGGCCCTCCACTATCCCACTCTGGGATCCTGCTCTCATACCACATCACCTTTGGCCTTGAGGACTAACACGTTGTGTGCTTGGAAACAGAAAACTGCAACTAGGCTCTGCCAATTCGGGGGCTTTAGGGAACACTGCGAGAGGAATGGGGGGGAGGGGAACCTTTAACGCTCGGTTACTTCTTTAAGGCAAAGATACGGGAGGAGAAAAGGCAGCTCACTGCCCGCCTGTGTCTATGTAGGCGTCTCTTTTCCCCCTTTTTCTTTCCATAGTAAACTTGCCATGTCCTGCTTAGGGAAAAATAAGATATGAAAGATGATAAAGCCCTGATAGCGCAGTTTTCCCAGTACATACACAGCACATGATTTCTGATCATTAAATGAAGGAGGACAATGAGAATCCAGCTGTCTTCAGTTGAGGCTCATTAAAAAGACCTGGATAGGGCCTCCCTGGTGGTGCAGGGGTTAAAGTCTCAGCGCTATCAAACTATCACCAGCCACTGCGGCAGGAGTTCAATCCCCAGCCAGGGAGCTGACCCACCCACGTGGCGCGGCAGACCTCGCCTGTCTCCCCTCAGCTCCCCACAGCAGTGCATTGCAGTAGATCCACCTGTTGTGATCCCCACTCTGTCTCTGGCAAATCCTCTCACCCCCTCCCCGCACCTCTGGCCTGCACCCCAGTTCTTGTATGCATAAATAAACAAAATAAATCTTTAAAAAAAAAAAAAGGAGAGATCTGGATAAGTTTACCATTCCTCTCCCAATTTATTTTATAATATATAACTGTTTCTTATAAAAATATGCTGTTATGTTAACATGAAATGAATTATTACTTTTAAGTAGCAGGCATTAATATTTTCAGTTTTTATTATGATTCAGTATGGTTTAATGACTACAATCTAAAGAATCAAAAATTATTACCACAAAGAATAATTAAAAGTATAAGGGATCCTGAGGGTAAAAAGGCTGAACTATTACTATCGAGTAATCGGACCCAAATCAAAAGATCCTATGTTTTAGCAGGAATTCTACCCTAGAGTACACTGCCTTTAAGTCTGTATTAACCTTTCTCTAAAACATTACCACTTTTTAAACTGCTGAAACATGGTCCATCAGAAGTCAAAAGTAAAGTTTTAATTATTTTCTCTTTTTAATTACATAACACAGGCTTTTGACAAAACATGTACAATTCATATTCCACTACTGAAGAAATGCTTCAGAAATTAAATACGACCTTCCGTCAATCACTTACTTTTACAATGTCTGGGTTATTGGCTAGTCTCAGAACCTTGCAGGCCTTTGCTAATCCAATCCCACGCAGCGACGAGAGATAGTCACAGCCTGAGAGAATGCACATATAACGGAACTTCTCTTCTGTGAAAACATCCCCAAGCTGTCTGCATTTTCCAAGCCGAGCCTGATCAATTTCTAGTCCATTTCCAAACTGATCCATTTTTAAAATCACCTTGAAAGAAAGGAAACTGAGTATCTGTAAGGGCCATTTTTACTTTTTATTTCTAATCCACTGCACTATTTTAAGGAAATCTTTCTTGTTCTTCACCATCACACAGTGAGAGAAAAGATAGGACATTTGATTATTTTGAAATCTCCAAAACTAACCTGAAGTATCGAGCACTGACTAGATGAGGTCAAACACCAGGGCTCTACTGGAATTTCTCTGGTGTCCGGACGCCCTTTCTGTGCCTCTCTACTTCCTACCTCCAGTACAGGGCTGCCATGGTGATCAAGCAGCAAGCACGAAAGCATCGCCTCCTAACTTTGTGCTTTCACATCTTAGAGTAAAACTTTTACTTAAAATAATACATGTTCATTGCCGAAAATTTTGGAATCAGAGGAATTAGGATAAAACAGAAGTTGCTAGGAATCGCTCTTCTATCACTGTTCCTATACAAAAATCTTTGGATACAGATCCTTCTAGCTACCTATATAACTTATACAAATAAATGAAAAAGATTATTAACAAAAAATAAGATCATCCTTTCTTTCTGTACCTTAACTTCTCCTCTTAATAAAGCATAAAATTTTCCATTAATTCTAAATAACATAATTCTAAATAACTAAAAAACATCCCACTCATAAGTACATTCGTTTACCTAATCTACCTAATCTATTTGAAAAATGTAAAATATAAAAGCTATCATCGCTAAAGACACTGTAATAAAGAATATGGAAAAAACGAAAATAAAACTCTCCAACTTTAAGAGGTTACTCTGAAAAAGCAGACAGTCATACAAACGTCAAGAAGTCAAACCCTTCATTTCATTTTACATAAAAGTGAACATTATATGCAGATACTAATTATCCCTAAAGGGAAAAAATGCACACCATCTTCATCACTACAGAAAGGTAGCACGCAGTGGCTTTCAGCCAAGTACCCTTTTACAGCCAAAAGCGAGGAGGTCGGAGTCCTCTGTAATGACAGCTTGCACAACCCCGGCTTTGTTCAGGTAGGCCAGCTGCGCGTCTGCTTCGTACGGAGCCACGAGACAGTCGACTCCGTGCGACCGTGCAGCCTACAAGAGAGCGTCGCGGTCAGTCTCCACCACAGCAGCTGGAGAGCGCCGAGCAGCTTCCCATGTCAAGCTCGTTTCATTTCTGTCCTCATCATGCGCATGCTAACATTCTCTTCAGAAATAATATAGGCACTAAGAAACCTTACTAAAAAAACTCAATGGACACATTTAGAGAAAAGAAATATTGTCCCTTCAGCACAGGGGGCAGACGAAGTCTACAAGCTACAAAAATCTAACGACCTCCAGTAACAGAGAGCTTCCGTGGTGAGAATGGCTATCCTCCACAAGTATGTAAGGGGGCTATGTGAGCTTTGCATAGATTTTCCCCATAAAAATCACAGGTTGTCCTGTTACAGTTCAGAGCCTGACACTGTATTGCCTAAAAACGGCAGAACGCAGTGTCCAGTGTTTGAGCCCAGTGATCAAGGCAGAATGCTTTCACGGTAACAAGTCTAGGAAACAGGACATAGACAGTCCTGCCTCAAACCCAGGCAGCTGGAACAGGAACTTCCCAGTTTCAACCCATGGGTCACTGCTCCCAAGGGCAAGGAGCGGTCTGGGGAAGTAACAAAAAATAGAACTGTCAAGATTTGCCTGCTATTAACTTGGTGACAACTGGTAATCTCTTCCTTTCTCATTCCCTCACCCTGCCCAGCAGCCACCGTCTCTCGCTGTGGCCAGTCAGGGTTTCTCCTCCAATTCTGGACACAGCAGAATCACAGCCTTTCTTCTGTGGCTATCAGAACACTTGCCACCCTTCCCTGCTTCCCATCTTTTCCTTCCACCTGGACTCTAGAAGAAAGGGAAATAAATATTCCTTGCATGATAAAAAATAAATAAATAAAATGAAAGCAAGAACTTTAATGTTTATTACAGCTCAAGATCTGGATGGCAGGTCTACAAGTGGGAAAAAGTGGTTTCTACCTGTCATTATGCCTTGACAAGGTTCCAAAAAGGGAAAGTGAGGCCTGGGATCACGGACACAAAGACATAAGGCTTATGGAGGTCACAAAGAAACATCTGGGCAAAAGCAGATGCAGGAGCTAGGACTTATCGCTGAGGTGGCAAGGCTGGTTTGAAATCTTTCTCACAAGACCCAAGAATGAGGTTCTAGTAAGTGTCAAAGATTATACCAGAGTGGGATAAGGTGAATCCTCCAGGAATGAATCCCTTCCACCTCTGCCTAACTGTCAATGGAATCAACCTATATGCGCCACTTACTTAAACAAGCACAGCACCACCGATTCCCTGGGATCTCGCCCTAGGAAACTGCTGATCCCTCTTCCCTATTCAAGCACACTGCTTGCTTCTTCCTTAAACACGTAAGTCAGGCCTAGGGTAGTCTCCACTCTTCAACTTCTAACTCTCCCATTAACAACCGGCCTAGAGCTGGTCTAAATGAACTTAACCACTTGTTACTTTGATCTTATTTCTAATTTAACTTACTTTAATGACTTTGTGAGCCATGGCATGGGTGATATTGACAGAACGGGTAAAACATTCTCTGGCTTCTGAGACTTTCCCCTCACGGAGAAGCTGCTTTCCCTTAAGAAGATTGGTTTCTCGTCTTCTGCAAGGGAGAACACATACACACACCAAACTTAAGAGGCTAATTTAAGAAACTATTATAAAGCTACAATTTAAGAAATTTTCCTAGAATAACAGGAGATGACTCATTTGAAAGTGTACTCCAAGTGCTTGAGAATATTAACCCAGATCCTTTGAGTTTCTAGACAAAAAGAACAAGTGTTGTATAGTGGGTACACACACAAAATAATCACCAGACTTTTCAACAGCAAAAGATTCTGTTAAAGTTAAAAACGAACGATAAAATTTCTAGTAGAACTACCAAAGGAACACAAATTGAGTACCTTGAAACGTTACTTTCAACAAGAAACAAGTGATATTACAAAGTGATATTACATGGGAAAAAAAAAACAATCAACCTACAAGTCACGAAAAGTAGTTCTACTAACTTTTAGGTAAGAAAAAAAAAAAGGAAGGACAGGAAGGTAAGGACAAATATAAGAGAAACAAATAATCATAATATTTAATAATTACTGATCAATGTAAAATAAAGAACACATTTAAAATGTTTTTTCAAGAAAGTAAAGATTGACAGATTAGATGAAGACAAGAAAAAACACATAGTAAAGCAGTCTTTGTAAGAGATGAACCTAAAAATCAATCACACAGTAAAGGTGAAATAAAACATACTAGCAAATCAGATTGAGTACTAAAAAAAGGTTCTTATAATTACACTAGTATTTGAAAGAGCAGATGTTAAAATAAAAAAGCGTAACTAGAGACTAACTACATAGTTTTAATTTTCCACAAAATGTAACAAGTTTAAATTTCAATTTAACCACTAGTCTCAAAATAAACAAAGCAAATTACAGGACTGTAAAATTGCACTATCATATAAAATTGCACTATCATAAAATTGCACTATCAAATTACAGGACTGTAAAATTGCACTATACTCAAAAATTGCACTATCATACCTCTCTTAATAATTGATGGATTAAGTAGACAAAGAAAAGAAAGAAACAATATGGAAGATTTGCATATCGCAGTATTTAAGCATGGTTTACTAAACAAAATCTAGCACTCAATTAACTAGAGAATATGTCTTTCCAGCACTCACAGAACATTTAACATTTGTTCATGCTATAAAGATTATAAAAAGGTCCCAACAAATTAAAATTTAAAATAGTGTTATCATACACTTGACCTTAATGGGATTAACTTAAAGATTAAGTAGAGAATGAACTTACTGTCTTCTAGACTTCTCCACTTCCTTTTTAGAAGGTAAAGTACATCCATCAAATACAAGAATAGGCTTGATCCCATGAGATAGTAGCATATTTACAAACTTCATACAAAATCCTACATACCTTTAAAAATAAAAACACATTTATGTGTTTTGTACATCACAAGTTAAAAATTTTGCTCTTTTAAAAACAAGATGATAAAAACACAAGCAGAACTACAACAAACCAAAAAGCTCTGAACATCAAAGGAAATCAACAAAACAAAAAGGTAATCTATTGAATGAGAGGAAGTATCTGCAAATTATATGCTTGGCATGGGATTGATGTCCAAAATATATAAAGAACTCATACAACTAAACAGTAAGACAACAAAAACAAACCTTGTAAAAAGTGGACAAATGATCTGAACAGACATTTTGCCAACAACAAACAGATGGACAACAGGTAAATGAAAAGATATTCAATATAACTAATCATCAGGAAAATGTAAATCAAAATCACAATGAGCTGTCACTCCAAATCTGTTAAATACTATGAAAGTTCCTCATAAATTTAAAAGTAGAACTACCATATTATCCAACAATTCCACTTTTGGGTATTTATCTAAAGAAAATAAAACCCATGTTTGCGGCAACATTATTAAAATAGCCAAGGTGTGGGAAAAATCTAAATATCCACTAACTGATGAATAAAGAAAATGTGATATCAACACACACGCATAAACATGCCATTATTAGGCCACTGAATAGAAAACTGGCATGGAGAATACAGCTCACAACACTGTGTTACATATTTGAATGTTACCCAGAGTAGAACCTAAAAGTCTTCATCATAAGAAAAAGTTGTAACAATATGTAGTGACAGCTATTAAACAGATTCATGGTATGTAGTAACAGATGTTAGATTTATGTACAAAGACATAGTCTATATAGGTTTTTACAAATATTAACAATATATGCAAATATTAAATTATGTTACACACTTGCAACTTTATGTCAATTCTAGTTCAAAAAGAAAAAAGATGAGATGAATTAGGAAGAGGCTTTATTTTGTTTCTTAAATAAGTATTTGGGTACCAGTGGAAATTCTAGTTTAGATCTGAGTTCAAATCCTGCTAAAGATCCATCTGGGGTATTCGCTGAGCCGCCTAACCCTCCGGTCAGCTGCAGATGAAAGGGTTCGACATGCCTTTCCATTTTGGACATTTTCTGGTCCTAACACTTACTTACTTCCTCCTGCCATTTCTTTTTAACTTTAAGAAATTCCAAAGCTATTATAATTCATTCATCACACCCAAGAAATTTAGTCTACAAAAACCGGTCTGACCGTCAGGGATTTCCCTGTAACCAGTGGCGCCCTGGCGCTGACCAGCCAGGGTGCTGCTCTCCCTTGCAGCATCTGTCAGTTCCTGGACATGACCACTCCGGTCACCACTAACACTCACGCTGGGCTGGGCGCTGACCGGGAAAGAGATGGCGACAGCGCACTACCTGCCCTGGCTCCGGCGTGACAGCACGCCGGGTATGTTATATATGTTATTATATACGATACATTATATATAATAAATTATTATCTATTCTATTTTTTCTTTTTATTATAAACCAGTGGCAGTGAGTCTGTGTTGGTCAGTATCAAGCAAAAACAGAAGAAAGCAAATGTAAAATACTAATGAATTCTAAAGGACATTTTATTTTAAGCCAGATACAATACAAACATCAGACACCTGGGGCCTTCACTTTATTTTGCAGCTGCCCTTCCGTGTCAGGTCTAGCTCATTCTTTACAACAGCTATAAAGATTTATCATAGACATAATCAGATTTTCTGACCTTTTCCCATTCACGCCCTCTCCCCCCAAAGAAGACAAGGAAAGCAAAATAAACCCTAACCAGAAGGCTTATTTAGCTAAGAGAAAAAAGTCTTAAAATACACAGCACTCTGTTGAAAGTTCCAAAACTTTTTAATTGACTAGACATTTTCTGAGCACCTACGACATGACAGGTCCTATGGAGATCATCTCTAACAGAAAAGGATATTCCCTGTATCTTGTACAACACTTCTAATTAGTTAAAAAAATCTCAGAAATTTCAGCATACTCAAGAATTATGAACAATTAGCAATGAAATTCTCCCTCTAGAAAAAAATATTTTTTAAAAAAAGGACGCCGGTGATTAACAATGAAAAGCTTGTAGTCTTCAGCTACTCTTCTAAGTGTTCAAACTTAGTGATGAGAAAGCAGCTGCTTTCAAAAAATGATCAGCTGCAGCAGTCACAGAAGAGAGCGGTGCCTTCACCTCCACACCCAAGGAGCAGGTCACTTCTGTTGAAACTGACTGAGCAGCCTGCGGACCTAATACGCTCACCCCTCAAAAGTGAATTTTCCGCTTTATAGGAAATAACTGCTCAACACTTTTTAAGCTATTATCAACTGCACTTAAAGAACAATTAAGATCTGTGAGTCTTTCCTCTGAGGGCCAATTATTAACACACAATAGTGTCAAATCTACAGAAAATGCTTCCTTAAAGTTACATTTATTTTTCCAATATTTCTAATAAAAAAATTTCACCCACTGAACCTTTGGACCAACTGTGCCATTGTGCTATCTGCACCTAAGAAATTAGAAGTCTGAACTCAATCCTGTGCAAAAGGTCATCTTACATCAAAACAACGTGCGCTGCTCTTCTAGCTCACTACAGAGGGTGGAAACGAGGCCTGTCTCAGAAGGAAGAAACCCCTTGCTTCTTGATAAGCGAGGCACTGAATGAAATCAATCCCCTTCTGAACAAGAACTGTTTCACTCCGAAGTGGCAAAGAATGAACATAAGGGCCAAGCTTACCTGTCAGTCGGTTCACCTTTAGCTAGTTTTTCAGCACAAGCAATAGCTCCTTTGTGAAGCCAGCAATAGGTATCTACAGCTACTACCTGGCCTTTATACTTCCTCACGTTGATGGGCTCCGCGGCCTCTTTGATAAATTGCAGCAATCCTTGTATTCCCATTGTGCCAAGCTAACTACCTGCATGAAAGGAGAAGGGGAAACAGCCAGATTTAAAGCAAAACCTATTCGCTTTCCAAGGAGCGTTCACACTTAGTCATAACACATGCCGCAGGCCTGTAACACGGTGCTAGGCACAGAGAAGGTGCTAACAAAGGGTGAGTCTTCAGAAAAGCAAAGTAAACATCTACAAGGTTGTACATGCTAGGCGTCACATCACACTGCTTTTGTGTGTTTAAGGGTCAACACACAAAATAGCCTAGACCTGGAAGTTCAGTTTGTTTCCATGGAGAAACAAAATCAATTCAATAATCAAACAGAAATATACAGCCAGAGCTGACTTTTCTGTGAAACTAACTGTCACCAGAATGCACTGCTCCAAGCAATGAACATTCTGTTAACAAGCAGCGGTGGTGCCTGACAGCAACTCTACCGATCCCGCTGGTCGGGCAAATACAATTTAGAGGCAACTGCTTCAACTTTCCAAGCCCGAGCACCCAGATTATGGTCCCTAAGCCATTCCTACACAGAAATTCTGGAGTTGCACAGGCCTCTCCAAGCACCCCCACTCCCCAGGACAAACACTGAAAGGGAGCCTCGGGCACCCGGCAGGCGTTCAGCACTTCGCCTCGTAAATCCCTCCCAGACCCGAAAGCCTGCAGGGAAGGTGAGAAGCAAGCCCCGGTGGGAGGTCGGCCTTACCCTGCTCCTGCCGTATGCAGCTCTGCTGCTTGCGTCCAGCAGTTTGCAATTTTCAGAAATTCATAGATGCTCAACACCTTCCGCGACGGTGGTCCGCTTGCTCTGCACTGAAGTGAGGAATTGGGAATCGTCAACAAGCAGCCGTCTGAACGCGGGTGGTCAAGTCACGGCGGCGGAAAGGGCGATCGGACGCGCCTCCGACACGTGCGGCCACGCGTGTTCTCCCGCTGGCCGCAGTCCCCACACGACGCCTCCCGAAGGGTCGCGGCTGCGCCGTGGGCTCAGGCGCCTCAGGCAAGTCCGCACCGCGCTCGGGCGGCCGGCGGCTCCCGTCAGCGCTCCGCAGCACGGGCGGGCGTGGTCCGCTAGCTCGGCCCCGGGCCGCGGCCCGCGCCGGCACTGAGGCACGGCCGCAGGTGGACACCTGAAAGTGGGGCGACGTCCCGTCACGGCTCACTCTGGGAAAGCCGACCGCCAAGGGGAGCCACCCTGCAGGGCATCGTCTGCCCGCAGGCGCGCCAAGCTGCACCCCTCCTCAGGCCCCAGCACCCCCACACACGAACTGCCCGCAGGGGCCCCACCGCGCCCCGCCGC